CTCTGCCTCTCGGTTTCAAGCGATTCTCACACCTCAGACTCCTGAGTAGCTGAGATTACAGTCTCATGCCACCACGCCCAGCTAATTTTCATATTTTTAGTAGAGATGGGGTTTCACCATGTTGGCCAAGCTGATTTCAAACTCCTGACCTCAGGTGATCTGCCCACCTCAGCCTCCCATGTTTACACTATACATTTTTGAATGTTTTATAGCCAGGCGTCCCCAAACTTTTTACACAGGGGGGCAGTTCACTGTCCCTCAGACCATTGGAGGGCCGCCACATACTGGGCTCCTCTCACTGACCACCAATGAAAGAGGTGCCCCTTCCTGAAGTGCGGTGGGGGGCCAGATAAATGGCCTCAGGGGGCCACATGCGGCCCGCGGGCCATAGTTTGGGGACACCTGTTTTATACTTTCACTAGCAAGGTATTAGAGGTCAAATTCCTCTGAAGTCTCACAAAAGGCAAGTGTTGTCAGGATTTTTGTTGTTTTAAATTGTAGCATTCCTAGTGGGTATATCAAAGTATCTCTTTATAGTCTTGATTTGATTTGCATTTCTCATATAACTAAACACATAGGACACTTCTTCTTGTACTTATTAGGCATTTATATATTTTCTTGTATCAATAGTCTAATCCAATTCTTTCGTACTTTAGGGTTATTTTAAGTTAATGAATTTTAAGAGTGTTTTATATACCTTTTTAAGTAACATGCATTTTAAGCAATAAGCAAATATTTTCTCTTGAAATTTCTTGGAATACAACGTGGTTATACAGTTTCTTAATGGTACCTCAAAAGTTTTTATTTTGATGAAGTCTAATTTTTGTGGGTTTTTTTTTTCATTTTATAGAATTAGTGCTTTTTGTGTTTTGTCTAAGAAATTATTGCCCACCCTAAAATCTGGAAGAAGTTCTCCTCTAGTTCCTCCTAGAAGCTTTACAGTTTTAGCCTAAACCAAGATCATATAATATTCTATATTTTCTTCCAGAATTTTTAAACTTTTAGGTTTTACATTTATCTCTGTAATTCACTTTCAGTTAATTTTGTACAGTAAAAAAAAAAAGCTTCAAACTTCTTTGCACATGGATGTTCAGTTTTTCCAGCACCATTCATTATCCTTTCTCTACTGAATTGCCTTTGCCTCTCTGTCAAAAATTACTTGTCAATACGTGAGTGGCTTTATATATAGACTCTCCATTATGTTTCACTGATCTATTTGTCTTTATGCCAATGCCACAATGTTTCCATTACTGTAGACTTACAATGTATTCAAATCAAGTAATGTTGGGCCTCTAACTTTGTTCCTACTAAAAGCCGTTTGTGTGACTTCAAACACTTCCGTTTTGATTTTAGAATCTATCTGTATATATAGATCAAAGTGGGGAGAAATAACATTTCAACAATATTGAGTCTTATGATCTGTGAACACAATTTATCTTTCCATTTATTCAGACTTTATTTCTTTCATCAGTGTTTCAGTGTTTTCAACATACAGATCTTGTGCATATTTTGTCAGATTTATATCTAAGTATTTCTTTTTTTGGTGCTAGTGTAAATGCATTTTGTATTTTTAATGGTCTTAATTTTTAAAAGATTCCATTTATAAGTTTTTCCTTGCTAGTATTTGGAAATATAAATGGTTATCAAATAGTGACTATATTCTACAGTCCTGCTAAACTCACCTACTAGTTCTAGTAACAATTTAATAGATTCCTTTAATGTTTTATATAAATAATCATGTTCTCTGTAAATAAAGTATTAGTTCTTTCTTTTCAATCTACATGCCTTTTGTTGTATTTTATTTTATTATGCCTATTGCATAAGAGTAAATCCAGGCACTATTATTCCATCTGTACTGGAAGCAGAAGTGTTAAGCATATATTTTGAATATTATATTTTTTAGGATATAACATTTTATTTATTTATTTATTATACTTTAAGTTCTGGAGTTTTGATTTTCATTCTCTAATGATTAGGAATGTTAAATATTTTTTCCTAAATTTATTGGCCACATGGGTATCTTCTTTTTTATTATTATTATACTTTAATTTCTGGGGTACATGTGCAAGTCATGTAAACTTGTTACATAGGTATACACATGCCATGATGGTTTACTGCATCCAACCCCCTGTCACCTGTATTAGGTATTTCTCCTAATGTTATCCCTCCCCAATCCTCCCACCCCCTGCTATTCCTCCCCTAGGCCCCTCCCACCCCCCCAACAGGCCCCAGTGTGTGATGTTCCCCTCCATGTGTCCATGTCTTCTCATTGTTCAACACCCACTTATGAGTGAGAACATGCAGTGTTTGGTTTTCTGTTCTTGTGTCAGTTTGCTGAGAATCATGGTTTCCAGCTTCGTCCAAGTTCCTGCAAAGGACATGAACTCATCCTTTTTATGGCTGCATAGTATTCCATGGTGTATATGTGCCACATTTTCTTTATCCAGTCTATCACTGATGGGCATTTGGATTGGTTCCAAGTCTTTGCTATTGTAAACAGTGCCACCATGAACATATGTGTGCATATGTCTTTATAATAGAACAGTTTATAATCCTCTGATACATGCACAGTTATGGGATTTCTGGGTTAAATGGTATTTCTATTTCTAGGTCCTTGAGAAATTGCAACACTCTCCTCCACAATGGTTGAACTATTTTTAAATAATCAATGTCACAGAGATATTTTGAAAGTCCTAAGTATTAAATAATAAGAAAATGGTGATAACCAAACTGCTAAATATTCATCATACTGAACCTGCCCTAAAATTCATAGTTTAGTTCCAAGATAATTGTTTTATATTTGTATTACCCTTGGTATTTTCATTAACTGTCATCATTTAAACAGGAAAATGTAGAAACAAATACTACACTGAAATTCAATAAATATCTGTTGAATGAATGAATTGTAACAATGAATTATAATATGAATGAAGATAATCCTGCATTAATTTGTCATATAAATACCAGTTATAGAAAGAAAAAACATAGTGAAAGAGAATGCCTTTAAGTTTATGTCATGACAAAAGACCTTAAAATAAAACATAACAAAGAATTTTAGAACTGGAAGTCTTCTCAGGATTTAGGCTGTCTTTTCCCATTCCAGATATGAGAAAATGGAGACACAAAGAAATGATGACACTATGGGGAAAAGGTGAGAACAGGGCCTAGGTTTTCTGACATCTCGTTCTTTCTCTTCCACCATACAAATTATCCATGATATTTCTTACTTTTTGACTTCTCAAAATGTTGTAGAAACTGCTACTTATTAAATAAATGGTAAAATTTTGCAAATAAAAAAACTTTCCTACAGTTCACTAATTTTCAACTATGAAAATTATGAAGCATCCAACTATTAAATAATTTCAAATGTAAGAAATATCAACAAAATGTTTTTAAAGATTTAATTTAGATTTTCACTAAATTTATTTTGTTAACCAGAAAAAAATCCAGTTTTAAAATGTATTTTGCAGTTATTTTGAAATAAAAACGCACTTGAAACTCAACAGCATTTTGCATCTAAGTTGGTAAAGAATTGTAATTTTATGAATATATGTTAAGTAAGTATTCACCTACTCAAAGCTAAGGTCTAGGTTCAACTTGATTTCATTCATTCAATAAATAATGGTCTATCTGTAAAACACTGTACCAATATCTGTGAGAGAAATAACTCATTTAAAAAGGTCAAAAAATCATGTTATAAAGTTATTTTCTATGTCTCAGATATAGTTATAGGTCCATATAGATTTAAATTAAGTTAAACTGAAGCTTCTCTTCCTAAAGCCACTGGTTTCTGAATGGTATTGAAAAAACAAATTACCAATGCTTTAAACTAAAATTATATTCCTTAGCATTACCTCCATTTCTCTGTCCAATTCAAATACTGCAAGAAAACTCATTCTGATAAGAAAGAAGAAACAGAGACAGACAGACAGAAGGATAGAAGCTGGGAGGCAGGGGGGACATAAAGGAAGAAAAATTAAACAGGTTTCGTTGAAAAAAAATTAGATGGTGACAAAAGAAAATGGGCAAAGAGAGAAATTTCTACAACACTAAGAGAACTACTCTCTAGGGTGGGGATTGGAAAACTTTTTCCGGAAAAGATCAGAGAGCAAATATTTTGCAGGTTTTTTTGTTCATTTGTTTGTTTTTGAGGCAGAGTTTCACTCTTGTTGCCCAGGCTGGAATGCAACGGCAGCATGTTGGCTCACCGCAACCTCTGCCTCCCAGATCCACGCGATTCTCCTACCTCAGCCTCCCAAGTAACTAGGATTACAGGCATGTAACACCATATCTGGCTAATTTTTGTATTTTTAGTAGAGACAGGGTTTCACCATATTGGCCAGGCTGGCAACAGAGTGAGACTCAGTCTCAAAAAAAAAAAAAAAAAAAAAAAAACTTCCCATCCAAATCCTTCATTCTTCTCCTTCCAAAGGTGGAAAATATAAGAGCCCTATATACTATTTTACGTATTACCCTTTGAATATGGAGAAGCCTATAGAACTGAGCCAAAATACTTACAACAGAGTTAGCACATGGGTATATCAAACTCATGAAGTCCTTCACTATAAACCTGCTGTTGGATCTGCATATACTTGCTTGAAAAACCACACCACCCTTCAGCCCAGGATAGAACCTTTGGAGATATTGTTAACCTACCCCTTTATCTTAACTCCTACTTCCAACTAGTCCCTTCAATCCAGCCTCTATAAAGTATCTTATAGCCATCTCTTCTTCATTCCCATTAGTCCAATGCCAGTCTGTGACAAAAACTTCTAAGTTTTCTGTTTAATTTCACTTCTTTATTCTGGGAAATCTATCTGATAACCTAAAACTCCCACATCAAACCTAAGATAGTTCAGACCTATGGTAAGTCAAGTGCTGAACATCACATACAGTATTTATGTGAAACATATGAATGTTATATTTCATATATTGTTATCTCTGTTTGGAATGAAGATTAAAAGTAACACATTTACCTAAAGATTAAACAAAATGTTTACCTGTCTGAAGCTATGTCACTGGGAATGTGGTGCTTCACGCCTGACCCATTTTTAATAGAATCCTGTCTTGTGAGCCCATGAGATCGACTTTTCTCCACTGCAGGTACAGATAAATCATCTGAGGGTCCTTGGAACTGGGGCTGTTCATGTAGTTTTGCTTTCTTCTCCTGAGGTGCCTCCTCATTTCTTAGCCCTCGAAGAACCTTTTGATCCGGTTGCTGTGGTGTGTTAGATCCACTATTATAAAACCATGCTCCTGATTTAGTGAGGATTTCTTGTTGTTTTCGGCACAAATTACATACCCACATAACCTGCACATGAAGATAGAGGGGAAAAGAAATTAGTGTTCCCAAAAGTTAAAAACAAACAAAAAGAGACAAAAATTCAAGCAAACAAAAAATTATAGGGTTTTCCTTCTGAAGTTAAACATAATCCTAATTACTACCGTAAATTAAATAATGTATACGTTCTTTTAATTTTTCAGAGTAATTCTAATGAGATAGACAACATTTATTAACCACAGAGATAGCAAAACTAGAGTGCCAAACTGCTGACTGTTCATTTGTATTATTAGTTTTATTTAAATTAGAGGCATTGTGTAATACACAGAAAATAGACTTTGAAGCTAGACAGTTGGGTTTAAATACTAACTCCAAAATTAGAAAATTTGCAACTTTCAATAAGAAATTGAACCTTCATATCTATAAAACTTAGTTTCCCTAATAATAAAATAGGGAAATAAAGATGACAATTTCCCTGTATTATTTTGAAGTTGAAGATTAGAAATAATTTATTTAATGGCCAGGTGCGGTGGCTCTACCTGTAATCCCAGCACTTTGGAAGGCTGAGGCAGGCAATCACAAAGTCAGCAGTAAAGACCAGCCTGATCAATATGGTGAAACCCATCTCTATTAAAAATATAAAAATTAGCTGGGCATGGTGGCATGTGCCCATAATCCCAGCTACTCAAGAGGCTGAGGCAGGAGAATCACTTGAACCCAGAAGGCGGAGGTTGCAGTGAGCCAAGATCATTCCACGGCACTCCAGCCTGGGTGACAGTGAGACTCCATCTCAATAACAATAATTATTATTATTTAAAATCTCTAGAATATTACCTGTTATATAGTAGACTTCCAGAAAGTTAGCTGTTAATATTAGGTTAATATTCTAGCAGCAATTACCTTATACACTTCTTAAGGGGGCTTTTATTTTTTTCGAGTAGCTCTTAATGGCTTTAAAGCTAGCAGCTTTGTTGATCCTCTATAAAAAACCTATTAGTTGCTAATAATTTATAGTAATGCACTTGATGTTTTTATTATGGCAAAACAACATAAAATTTGTCATTTTAACCATTTTTAATTGTACACCTCAGTAGCGGTAAGTATATTCACACTGTGAAACAGATCTTCAAAACCATTCCTGCAAAATTGAAACTCTAACACTCATTAAACAGCAACACCCCTTTTCCTCTCCTCATACCCCAGCAACAACTATTCTATACTTGATTTTTCAATAGATATATTTTTCAGATTGCAGAAATCTAAACATATTGTAATTAGTGTCTGTGTGACCAGAAAACCCTTCACCCTTTTCTGAAAAATCTTTTTCAATTAATCATTTTAAAAGTCGTATTATCATAAAATAAGAGTTCATAGTTCTAATGTGTGAGTGCTATTGTTTTGCTTATGTCAAATACCTAAGCTTACATAGCTCTCCAAGTTAATAACATTTTCTCACATAAAATAAATCACAACAGAATAGATAATCACAGTAAAAGTTTAGCATGGTGTTTTCAACTGACACAAAAATGTTTTTGTACAATACCATGTAGATTTTTTACTTTATTTTCTTCCATTATTTCAGTTTACAGATTGTACAGGTCTTATCACACAACATTGTACTTGATCACTTTTATTATTTTGTTCTCTCATTGAATTGTATATACATTTCTTTTCTCCCCAGTTAAATTTGAAGCTTATTGAAGGCAGAAACTATATCTTGTACTAGCATAATAAAACCTTGTAAGTTATAGCATGGTAAGACATAGTAAATATTTGCTAAGTTTAACTTGTTTAAAATTCTTCTGGGGGAAATATGGTAATAAGATATTTGATATTATTAGGCCAAGATGTATGTTCATTAATTTCCAAAAGAATTTGTCATAAATGACATCAGTATATGTAGGTATTTTATTTTTATAAGTCAAATATTTTGACATGAAAACACCACTATCTCACTGAAATTAAAACCTCATAGCTCAAATTTCTTCTGCTATACTTGGTCTGAATAAACATGAAATCTAACCCATCAACAGTCTCAAAAATCAAATTTCAGTAGGCATCTTCAGCCTTTTGATGCCATCTTCTGACAAATGCAGGTACTGCAGATCTCTTATAAAAGTAAAAGGCATGGAAAATGGAACCACAAAATAATGTAAAAATAAATGAAGTCTGAATTTCAACTTTTCTGTTTTAAACAAGTTGTTATTTATGCTTCAGTGATAATCTATGCTGGATGATTATAAGTACTCAGAGTACTGAAGAAGGGCATCCTTTTGTGCCTGGTAATTAACAATGAAACAGAAATAAGAGATTGTGAGGCAGATAATTATCCAGTCACTATCATCTACAGAAACTGTTTTGCTGCTTTGAAACAACTGAAAAATAACAATTTTTCACAAGGTAAGCAGGTTACTTAATGTATTTTAGAGCAGAGATTATCAAAGACTAACTCTGAGAGAATAGCATCAGTATCACCTGGGGAAATCACCAGAAGTGCAAATTCCAAGGTCCCACCCCAGACTTACTGAACAGGAAACTCTGGGGCAGTGTCTAACAATATTTTTCCCCAAAATCCTCCAGGTAATTTTGATGTTTGCTAACATTTGAGAACCCCTAGTCTATGGCAGAGATTCCTAGTTCAAATGTTAAATGGGTTACAAGTATGCTCCTCAGACTGGCTAAGACCAAAGGAGTTCATATTCAGCCTTGTCAGTTAACCTTAGTGTAAACTGCTGATTGTACAAATCATATTGTTTCTGTGAAGCCCAAAATGAGAAAAAGAATTGGAAACACTATCAGCTCAATTTTCCTAATCTGTTAATATCCAGTGTTTATTAATATAAGACAAATAAGCATAAGGTATAAAGAATGATGGCTGATTCATATTAAAGACTCTCCATGTGTTAATATCCTTCTCACCTTGCCTGGGCTATGGACACTGCTTGCTCCTTTTCTGAGTAGATCATTTGTTCCTTCCTAAATCACTCGCTAGCTTCCTTCCTTTCTTCTTTCCTTCCTTCCTTCCTTCCTTCCTTTCTTGAAACAGGGTCTTACTTCGTCACCCAGGCTGGAGTTCAGTGGCACAATCTCAGTTCACTGTAGCCTCAATCTCCCGGGTTAAAATGATCCTCCTACCTCAGCCCCCAGGTAGCTGGGACTATGGGTGTGTGCCACCATGCCAGTTAACTTTTGTATTTTTTGTAGAGGCAGGGTTTCATTATGTTGCCCAGGCTGGTCTTGAACTCCTGAGCTGAAGCAGTCTGCCTACTTCAGCCTCCCAAAGTTCTAGGATTATAGACGTGAGCCACCACACTGCCCTCCTGGTATTTTCTCATTCATATTTTGACACACTGGTTACCTTTCTTTTCTTCTTCTACCATTTCCTCCTACTTTTGGATTAATAATTTATTAATCCTTAAAGCTCAGGATTTCCAAATCTACTCGCATCAAGTACTGTCATGTGCTGCATAACAATAGTTCAGTCAACAATAGATCACATATACAAGGGTGGTCTCCTAATATTATAATACTGTATTTTTAGCATGCCTTTTCTATATTTAAATATGTTCAAATACACAAACACTTTTCATTATGTTATGACTGCCTGCAGGATACGGTACAGTAACATGTTGTACACGTTTGCAGCCTAGGAGCAACAAACTATATCATCTAGCCTAGGTGTGTGGTAGACTATACCATCTAGATTTGTTTAAGTACACTCTATGATGTTCCCATGACAAAACTGCCTAAGAAAACACTTCTTGGATTGTAACCCCATCGTTAGCAACACTATTGTAGTACAGAAAAACTGACACACAAATAGCAGCTTAGCTTATAAATTGATGACAGTATTAAACTACATCTCACAATCACAAATACCTCTCAAATACATATACGCTGTGAAATGATTTTTCACTAATTGGCTATGAAATGATTAATGTCTATTAGAGATAAATTCTGTGACCAGGGAACAAAATTTATCTAATTTGGCAACAAAGTCACAGGCCTTTTGCTAATAGAACCCTTTTACCAATTAAGTTAGCCATATAATGTTAATATATGGTTAGTATCTGTCTAAATAGCTTAGAAATATATATACCTACAAAACTCCCTGGTTAGAGCCTATCAACTGATTCTCATAATTATCAAAAATATCTAGAACCTGAGAATATAAAACATACAGTATTCAAAATTATGTTATTGTTACCTTCAGTCCTAAATATAACAAAATTTTAAAAATAATATAGCAATATTAAGAGATGGAATAATCTCTAATGACCTGAATTTCTCACTTTTTACCATATGTTTTATTCCATAAACATTCTTATAGAATTAAAAGAAGGGGAGAAACTAAAGAAAATACAAATATCTTTTTTAAACCACAAAACTAATCATCATAACAGCTGCAGTGAATAGTAAAAGAAAGCAAAAATATCAAACTTACGTTAGGTATATGCAACTGAGAGTAATCTAAAGATCTGCAAAATACTATGATTTTCTTCTAAACAGGGACAAAAAATAGAGTAATTCAAATAAGGGAGGGTTTATAGGTTAAAGACTGATGCTAACAAGACCATAGGCCAAGCTCCTATGATTCAGCTAACTGCATAGAAAAAGGAATTCACTAGACTCTACCTCTAATCATTGCCAATCTGCTTATAAGGTAAAAGACTATAAATTGATCAAATAAGCACTACATAAATAGAAAACTGTTGAAGTTTCTGGCTCGCTATTCAACAACTTATTTCCTTTTCCTCTTAGAAAACTACATTTTCCATGTTATCAGGGCAGCCATGGCCATACAATTATAGTCTAGCCAATGGATTGTAAGTGGAATAGGTGTGCTACTTTTATGAACTTTTAAAAATTCTCATGGGCTATCTTCTTGCTATTCACCCAAGACCTTGGAGATAAGGAAGCCACAGGAAAAAAAGGTACCTGGGAACCCGAATAAGCACTAGAAGGAGAGCGCTCAGCTGATCAGCTATACCAGTGTGGACTTCACATATGTGAAAACTAAACTTCTACTA